GCAGTTAGAAACATATTTAAACCAACACTGGGGCAATGTTAAGGATAAAAAATTAGAGAAACAGGAATCTTTAAGTCTCCGAGAAAAAGTACAATCGTTTCTCAACCAAACCAGTGACATTGATGGCGTGCATTTCTTAGGGTATGATTTCTATCTGTCGGAGAAATCGGACAATTTTGAGAAACACCATCATAATTTATTCGCAAAAATATGAAAAAGTAGATAATTGCTAATTTCATTTATAGAGAACAATCACTGGAGAATGACATGCAAGACGCGGAGGATGGCGCGCGAATAGATTTCGATGCAGATGTATTCGACAGTACGTTAAGAGGTATCCTTGATTTAGTTGTTCCGGGAGGAGAGGACGAGTTCGAGGGTAGTTCAGAAGGATCACTGGGTGGTGACGACGAGGATAAAGGTGGCGATATGGACAAGTATATGCGGCTGTTAGACTCGCAATTACAATCGCAAATGGTAAAAGACGAAAGTTTGGTAGCGGATGATGATGATAATAATAGCACGGATCCCGTAGAGGCAAGTTTGCGAGAAAGTATCGAAGCCGAGGCCGGCGGCTCCGGCCCGGCCGGGAACATAATCGGAGGTCCTGTCCGAAGGCTTATGCACTTGCAGTTGCAATCGCCTACGACGGTACCGCCCGACTTACAAAGTTAATGGCACTAAATATATAATAGATGATTAACATAGTCGATTCACGTTAACATTCGTAAACATTATTACAACCTTCGCTTCATTCTGCAAGATACATTAAGCATTTGCCATTTCAAACAAGGAGAAAAAACAATGGACTAAAATCTCGTTACTGTCTAAATTATTACACATTTATTACTTAAAATATATACTTAATGTTATCGATCAAAGCACCTTTATCACGCAGTTAGTACCATTGATACATATTTCACAATTGTACTTTTCATCACTCGCTATATCACTGTTTTTCATACAAATTATATATAATTATATATACAGATATAACATATAAGATGTTATTATCGCGGCCATAGAGTTAGATATTAAGAATCCTACTATTTGTATATGTAGCATTTTGTTTCCACTTTTGTAACTAATTTTACTAAGCATCAAAGTCTTACGTGTAAAGAGCTTTGTACATTTCAATTAGAATAATGAGAGACACGGACGTTTGTTGTGTACAGAATTTGTATATTTCATTAAGACTTGTTAAAAGAACTGTTACGTTATGATGCCATGTATACGCGTTTGTGCTAGTGTATACATTGATCTTCATAGAGTCCCGTATAGCCTATCATTTATATTAAAATTTAAGGAACCATCTTTCGGTGCTGTTAGGTAATTGATTATTTGAATGCCTGTTTGAACCATTTTGGTGTCTTGTTTTGATTCTGAGTTGATGGTGATGATGATTTGCCACTACCGCTCGGTCCCGGAGTGACATGATTGCTCTCGACAACTGTGCCTCTATCGCTTTCAGTCGTTGGATCTTGTTCTTTCCGCATCGTGGCGATTCTATAGATAAGTGTACAAAATTTAACGACAATCTGTATTAAATGATGCCATCAATATACCTTACCTAGATTTCACAGCTTCAATACCAGCGGCTCTAGGATCTGTCAGTTGTGCTTTTACATTCGAGTTTAGCGACGATGGTCCAGAATAATAAACGATAGCAGAGGGAACAAGATTTTCGTCTATTAGTCGTGCGTCGGGGTTTAAAATATGCCTTGGTGGGCTAGTATCTGAAAAGAAAAGAATATATAATAAAATTTTATCCATAATAAAATTATTACATGTTTACCTTTTGTATAAAATGAATGTGATAATTGCATGTCATTACTCACAGATAGTGAATTCGCAATCCGGATTCTCCAAATAGCTTTTGATGAAATCCTTGATAGCTTTGATAGTCTCTAGCGGTTCGAACAAACCCTGAAGAACGAATTGGTCGGGAAATTGTATGCGAATTACGGCGCGACGATATTTGACTAATCGATCTAGAATGTGCTTATTTTGATCCAGCTGACGCTGCGCCTCCGTCAGAAGCGGAGCGTCCTCGAGTTGCTCTCTGCGACGCTTAGCATCTCGTAAAAGTGTCTTTGCGTCATGTAGATCGAGGTCGAAGAAGCTATCCGGCAATTCCTCCCTCGGCAATGCCTGAGTTCCAGCTTGATTGAACACTAGAGCATTTCTCTTTCCTAACTGTAATATAAAAATCCTCAATAAGTAAATCTATCACTTGAACGCAATTGCACGTATGCACAATTACACCTTACAAACTTAATTTCATACGCGTTTTCCTGGACTTCTGCGCATGTTTCTGCAATATGCCGATTTGTCCCAGCGTCGTGATCTTCATGGCTGGATGCAATGGGATGACTTTCTCCTATCTTAAATGTATCTTTCTCCTGTTTTTTATTACTAAACGCATCTACTGTCTCATCTTTTGTGTCTATTTTCACTTCATCTCTCGATTCTTCCTGATTTTCTGTTTTTGATGTGCTTTCTGTTGGTAAATTAATTGTTTCATTTATTGTCTTACTACAGTGTGGTGAAGATGATAGCACTCTTCGGTCGCTCGATGAATCATTCGCAACTGACTTTGGAAGTAAAGGCGTAGATACGTGTGCCTGAGTTTTTAATTGTTCATGATCACGATATATCAATCTCAATATTGCTTTACCGCTATTGAGTCCCAGCGATTTTAAGGTTGTTTTCTCTAATGCTTCTTTGCCACACACCTGGAAAGATTTGAACCATTTTTACTTTCAGTCTCTCTCATTCGCTTGCTTGCATTAAACATGTAATTATGCAATATTAATTTCTACGGTATGCCATATCACTTCCTTAATTCAAAAGTGACACAATTAAAAAAACGTGATTTTGAGTTATTAACCATGAATGAATTAAGAGTAAACGTTATATTATCAATTAAAAGTGAACTAACTTCATAAAAAATCGTCAAAATCGTCACAAATTCTTTAAGAGTAGTGAAACGAAAATGACAAAAATGATTGAATTTTGTCGTGTTAAGAATACATTCTTTTTGCCGATATTCTTTGATTATTACAATATTAATAATTTTATATTAAGTTAAGAAATAGTTTTCTCCTTTCCTGGGAAAATTAATGGTGAATTTGGGCACTTGTACTACAGGATTAGTGCATTAAAAAGGCTGCTTTGTATGAAGTATCTAACAATAAGTGTAATGACATAATATAATCGATTTTGATAATAATATAATACATGTATATTCCGTTATATAACGTGACGATATTGAGTACTTAATTGTTTAAAATATGTGCTTTTAAATTTTTACTTGGCTAATTTCATGCAGCTATTATATATATGCGATAATCTAGGATACTGCCCAACAAGAAACACATAGCGTAATGTAAGGGTCTGAAGAATTATCATAACTCTTACTTTTTTAGATTTGTAGACGTAAGGAACTCACAAGTTTTGGCATATGATGTGTGACTTATTGTTGTCTCTCAGAGACACTTAAGTCTAAGTAAATGTTAAAAAATTGTGTTCAGACTCTAACACAATGAATCATTTTATCTTTGTTTAACATTGACAGACAAGGATGTAATAAGTTACTATGTTAAATTGTGTCTATTGCTGGAAAGCATCCTTAGTGTAATGCAAGTGACTAAATTCGCTATTAATTTTTTAAGCTGTGTCATTTTTTAAGTAAGAGAGTGAATTATATATGATGTTTCTTAATAAGTGCAAAAAATTTTAAGAGACGATTTTTTTATCGAAAATTAAGGGAGATTTTTCATATAAACATATACTTTTGTCCCTCTCCGAGGAACTCTTTGAAAGAGGAAGCTAAAAATTAAGCTTAATTTTGCTTTTTAAATTTTGGCAAGTTAGAAAAATGAAATTTAGTGGACATTTTCCATTAGTAAAAAGGATACTTATTAAAAAAAATAATAAAAACAACTTTTATCTCCATCTTTGAAGGAATTTCATCCTTCACAGAAAGATATAAGAGTACATGTTTATATGAAAAATCCCTATTAATCTTCAACAAACAATCATCTCTTAAAATTATTGGTATTTAGAAATATCCTGTATTTACATACTTCACGATGCATGTAGATCAACACAGCTCTCTCAAGATCAGAATCAGGATACATTTCCATCAACGCTTGAGCCAACGTTGTATCCGGCGAAAACTCGCGCAATATTCTCTGTCCATCCTCCGGCTGAATGCCAATTGTGACATTCGACATGGTACGAGTTTTTGTACAGGCCACCATCTCCAACTGAGCGTTATTCGGCAAACCGGTGAAGCGGAATATCGTGTTAGGATCTAGTATCTGACGATTGTGTCTGTAACAACGAGAGATGTAATGTATGGTTTACAGAAATTATATAATTATTGTGGAAACCGAAGTCTCAAGTGTCATGCTCACTTAATGTCATAATCGTCGACGTTGTAGCCCTGTTTTTGACATACCTCCTCCAGAACCTGCAAGAAAATCTTTATTTGAAAATTCGTATCGAGAATATCCTTTTTGTTTTGATGAAACCTATTCGAATGCAAGTATCGCGCTAAATCCTCGTCGGACTCACCTGCAGGATCGTCGTATTAATCGTAACTTTTACATTCTGCCGGCGACCGTTTGGCGCGAGAACGATAACCGTCTTGTTTGCCGCCATGGTGACCAGCGAAACTTCAAAGAGATGCGCTGAACGGCTCAACTATCGCGAAGTCAACAGCTGATTCGAAGCAACTCGTTCGCGCAGACGTTCCACGTGTCTTTTGACGTCATCCCCTCCTAAAGTCGCGTAAAGTCTCGTGTTCACCAATTGATCTGTTGTCAACAAAAAAAAAAGAAATAAAAGGAATTCGATCGTATTGAAAAGAATATACTACGATTCTTTACCGTGAAAATAGTTGCACTTGTACACGCTGTTATTTTTTTGGATCATTTCACGAGTTCGAAACAGCTGTCACGAGTGTCACGTCGTGACAGTTTGTGTACTATGCGCTGTTGATAGGCTATTATTGACGCTTGCGCGCGCGATTTAGATAACAATCGTACGTTGGCAAGGATCCAGGGTGGTCCAGGGGAGTCGTCGAGTTTGTGTGGCCGACCTGCACGTGCACCGCGGGTCGTTTACGCGGGAGGGGGGGGGAGGGGGGCGGAGGAAGGCGCGAGAAACAACGAACGTGTGTCAAGCCCGTCCGCCGTGCAGCGGGAAACGGGAATCGCGTGAACCGACAATAAAAGCAACGGAGAGGAGAGGCAGGAACACCCGCGGCGTGTCGCCGTGTGTTCACGTGCGACGAGCGACTACCGTCGCTGTCGCCGTCATCTGACGTCTTGCCACCGTTCGACCACACAACAACGACACAAATGACGACCTGCGAGGTGAGACCTGGCAAGCCGCGGTGCGATGGTTGTGTCTTTTAACCGGTACCTGCCGGTGATCCTGCCGGAGATCGACGACAGCGAGCCCGACGGCGCCGTCGCCGCGAACGACGTCGGACCGCCCGACGTCAAGCAGCGCGCCTCGTACACCACGGATGAGCCTGTTGCGAGGAACTGTTCGACCAGCACCAGCACTATCGGCGG